ATATATATATATATATATATATATATATATATATATATATTGAAATAGATTAATGTATATATGCATAAACAAATATAAAGTTCTTGTTGTAGGTTTTGGTTCTTTGTTAAAAACAAAAATTAAGGAGTATACAGTTTTACTAAAACTACAGCCAGTAAAAAACGCAGCATATGTGATAGAAGCACAGCAGCAGTGTTTGTTTTGCCATTTTTACACGAACCTGGTAATAAGGCATGTCTGTACATTAAACAAACAAGAATAATTATTAATCCATGTTTATTTTCAAATCAACACTTTAACGTTCACTTGTATCTAAGGAAGGCTGGGGAGGTAAAAAAGATTAAGGGGTGGAATTAGGATAAGTTACAGCTCATGAGGTACTCCATCAGAGCATCTCTGACACCTCGGCCCTGCTCTCCATCTTGTGGGACAGCGACCAGGACGGGCTGTGCGGCTGGTTCTGCTCCAAGTTCACGGAGGTCATCCATTTTGGTTGTGTGTTGTTTTCCAGCTCTTCTTCTAATACATGTTAGTGGTGCTTAGAAAAGAGCTTAATGTAGCACTACCGCCACCAGCTGGTAAGGTGCGTTGATATTAATAATCCGCCCACTAGAGGTGAACAATACGCCCACTAAACGGGAACTATAGGCAAAGTGGAGACACAAAAATAGAGGTCCCACTAGAACCGGACACAACAGGCTACAACAAGAACCAGACCTGTGGATACCAGGCTTAAATCTTCCAGCAGCCAATGGATCTAAAACTTTGGCCAAATGTATTTGATTTATCCACACCGCTGGTTTTTGCACCAAACAAGCCATTCCTTTTGTAATTACCCTACTTGCTCAGCTAGAGAAAAGGCATGGATCCATGATTCTTCTCAGTTAATGGGAGGTAATGGTCTTTCTCCCAGATAATGGTCTGGCTGGTGGTTGAGGCACTGCATCACGCAGAGACCCTGCGTGCGTTACGATAAAACCCTTGTTTACTCAGTAGCAAGTCTCTGCAAGCCTTTGCATTGTGCTGCTAGAAATCAATCTTGGACAGTGGTCGCCCTGCCTCCTGGCCATCTGCAGCCAAACCGCTCCGTCCCTTTTCATACCCCGGCATTGTCATTCCTGCATCCCTGCCAGAGGTCTTTGGAAACCATTTCCTCATATTTTCTATTTCTCGTTCCTCCTGCTCTTTTTTTTTTTTTTTTCCGATGATGGGGTGTTTTATCCTCTGTGTGTTTTGAATGACTCGCCTCAACTTGGCAGTGATTTAATATGTTACCGTGCTCCATAAATCCTTTGTCTTCCCACATGCTGAAAGCACGGAGCACCGGAAAAAGCTCGATCGGCTGTTTTCAGGAGTAACGCCACCCCGCCCCATACACACACATCCGCAAACCAATTCCATTATGATCACAGTCCGATAGGGCAAAGCATGCCGTCCCAGCGCTCCTCTGGAAGGAGGGCGGTGTGAAGGAGCAAATCAAACCGATGGACTCATCGTCTGTTTTCTTGTCTACCCTTCACATCCAAGGTCTCACTCCTTCCCGCTTTCACTTCTCGGGTCAAAGATAAGATGATTCCTGAGGCCTCATTTCTTCTCAAGTACCAACCCAAGAAAAGATGATTATTTAGACCTAAAACTTAAAGCAAGATTAAAGACCTTAAAGGAACGTATATTGCTTGCTGCTTTTTATACCAGAATTTTAGACTGGAATCATTTTATGATGAGAAAGAATTGTATATTTTGACAATAAATTTTGTGGCTCACCATTTGTCATTTACCGAAGATATCTCTGACAGAATGTTAAAAGTGTATGGAACTGTATATTAGAACTTTTAAGTCAATTCAAAGTCAACTTTATTGTCAAAACTGCAATATGTACAGGACATACACAGGATTGAAATGTCATTACTCTCAGACCCCTGGTGCAACAATAAGCATTAAACATTTAATAAACATTAGCATAAAATTAAATAATAAAAGTACGATACTATCCTAAATTGTAAGTATAGCAGTGTAAGTATAAAAAGTATATCTATCTATAAAAAAAAACTACCATGTAATATTTTAAATGTGTTAGTTTTTTCCCAGTATGTCAACCATTTGATGACCAAGAGTTGTCTTGATCAGATTGATTTCTCCAGAGTCTTTGTCCCCATAGCAAAGTGAAAAAGATTAGTTGGAAATACCCTTCGTCCATCTGTCTGTCCATCTTCCAGTCCTTGAAAGGTGTGATAAAGATAAATTCAAAAATAAATGGGGCGTCACGGTGGCGCAGTTGGTAGAGCTGTTGCCACTCAGCAAGAAGGTTGTCGGATCAAATCCCGACTGGGGGAACCCTTATGGGTGGAGTTTGCATGTTGTCTCTGTGCATGCGTGGGTTTTTATTTAGAAATTTTAATATCATTAAAAAAAAACAAAAGTAATTATATACAATAGAAAACAAAAATATGTATACAATCAAAAATAAAATGAAAGGCAGCAGAAGAATAAATCCCATATCTGCCCCTTTTTTCCCAGAATATATTCAAACAAAAGTAATTTACAAAAAAAAAAAAAAAAAATCTAAATAAAAACAACATCAACTCAAACAACAATTTGTATAGATACACATTATACTTTTCCAATGTCCTTCAGAAAACTAACTTTTAACTTTTTTTTTTCTGGGAACTCAGTTTCCTCCCACAGACCAAAAGCTTGGGCTGATTGGTAAATTGTCCCTAGGTGTGAGTGAGCGAGTGAATGGGTTTTTGTCTCATTTGTCTCTATGTGGCCTCGAAATGGATTGGAGACCTGTCCAGGGTGTCCCCGCCCCCACACAGGGAAAAGTGGACATGGGCACCAGTGATCCCTGTGATCAAAAAAGAAAGAAGTCTATAAAAGATGGTGGATGGATGGATGGATGGATGGATGTAAAAATAAATGAGGTATTGATTTCTATTTTGGTATGTGGCTGCATCTAGACATAAGAAAGGCTCCTTTTGAAAACGGGGTTGCCACGTCAAAATTGTGGTGGTCGATGGGGTGGCTGAAGATTAATCTATGGTGGGCAAGGCCACATTGGCCACCCCTCTGGCTCCGCCATGCACCTGGTGATGGATAAATTTGCTTGCTCCTCTTGCCAGGATCTGTCACTGTGCTGCCAGGGACAAGGAAAAACAAAACCTACCTCTTTTCTTATACGCACTGTTACACCTTTCCACTTGAATAGCACTAAACACATTAATGGTTACTTGCATTTCCTGTTCAAGTCCAGTCCAGAAAAAGACACTCAAACTACAAACAATCACTTTTCAAATCCCTCAGCGACGGGGGACATCAATGTCCTGATTGTTTGAAGCTGTTTTTATAAGAACTTTTGCTTGTAACTTGTTCATGGATGTCACTTTCTCCACAGACCCATGCAGAGACCAGGAGAACGGCCTGACACTGTGTCGAGTACAGACTGCCACCCGGCAGCCCTTTTTGTTTGGTCCACCGAAGTCGTGCCCTCCTGGAAACGGGCCTCTGTGTGCCAGCGATGGCCAGACCTACAACAGCGAGTGTGTTATGTCGACCACAGGCATTCAGAAAGACATCAAGCTCAAAAAGATCCACGATGGGTCATGCAGAAAAGAAGGTACAGACTCGAATGCAACGAGAACATTTGCTTGTGGAGAGTAAAGATTTAACTAAATATTTCAAAAGCTGTTTCAGATCTAGACATGTTTTATTAAATTTTATTCACATTTTAATACAAAATCATTATATAAATTTTTCTTCCACTGTATACATGTCCTTTTTTTTTTCTCAACTACATTTGTCTATAAAAGATAAACTAGAGAAACTAAATTTTATCTGGTAGTGCAGTGTGAGTGTTGAGTGCTAAACAACTGCTGAAGTTCACTGAAGAAGTTGAAACTGAGAAAGGGCTGAACTATTTAGGAAAATATTCTAATAGCAATTATTATTTTTTTACCTCAATATTGCGATTTAATATGCAATTATTTTTCAAGGTCTTCTTCTCGTGTATTTTTCAATGAACACAAGCAATAAATCAATCTGTTTCAGTTGCAAAAAAAAAAAAAAAACAGTTTTCAGCTCTGCTGCAACTCTGTTTCTTAATTTTTTGTACAGCTCCATAGCAACTTGGCTAAAATGTGTGCGCGAGGGCATTTTGTACCACTTATCTATTGTGTTTACCAAAGCTGTAAACCCAGGCCTGGTCACTATAGTAATGGCCATCATGTATTTTGCTATGAACTCTGTTATTGCTCGAGTTATTTCTGAGTGCAGTTTTGAATTATGTTCATACGTAGTAATACCTTCGAACAGTTCAGTCAGTGATCCCTGTCGGCTGCTACTTTGCTTACTTGAAGTTGAAGCACTGGTCTTTGGCATTCTAGCCATGCAACTATCGTGATTTTTTAAGTGTTGATAAAGATTTGTGTTGTTACCTCGAGAGGTAGCAACAGCAGCGAGGCAGGTTCTGCACAAAACACGTCATTGTGCAGCGTCTTTTTTTTATAGGCAAAATAATTTCAAACAACGGACGTGCTTCCCCTCTTTGGTGCCAAACTTTCAAATGTATCAGCTTCCATCGAGCCTGACGCCACTGTGCAACCAGTTAAAGCGCGGTGTTAACTTCTCCCTCTCCCTGCTCTGCTCTGCTCCGTTCACTCGCAAGTCACGTAACCAGATCATGTGACCAGTGAAATTGCAACCTTGGCAATTAGAAAATCTTGTTTTATCATATTGCAATATTAATGCAAATGCAATTAATTGTTCAGCTCTAAACTGAGGTATCGAAGTAAAAAACAGTAGCTAAAAGCTACAAGTTTTTAAATCCTGCTTAAAAACCTACTACCACTCCCTGGCTTTCAACACTATGATCTGTGCTGAACCTGTATGCATCACACTGTGTTAATCATTATGTTATTATCTGCTATTATTTTTGTTTTCTTATATTTTGATTTTACGTTATGTTATATGTTGCTTTGTGCTTTACCTGTTTGTTTCTGTTCGTACAGCCCTTTGGTTGGCCTTGTCGCTGTTGAAAGTGCTCTATAAATAAAATGGTATGGCACAACTTGAACTTTAAACTTTATTACAAGTAGCAAAAGGCTAGCTAAAAAATAAAAGTAGCATAAGACACAAAAATAGAGCAAGTAAACTGAAGCAGATTTAAAAGAGAACGATTTGAAATGAAGTTCAATCCTTTGAAAAGCATTAAAGCTACGTAAACCAGAAGTTATATCACTCATCTTCTGAACAAGCTGAACCCTTTAATACGATAGCTAAAATAGCACAAAGTATGCAGGAGTATGAAGATGCCAAAAAAAAACAAGAAAATTAATAAAACAGGAATGCAATAGCATGGATGCTGAATCAACGTTCACGTAACAAGACGAATGAGACTGTCACTGTTGTCCAGAGAAAGCATAAGTTTATTTCTTTCAAAGCATTCTGACATCCAAAAATACAAAAAAAAAAAAGATTATAAACTCCATATTTAAAGATTCTGAGAGAACAAGCTGAGCAAAATGCACAAACCCCTTGTGATGTTTGCAAAGTCCATTTAGCCACGAAACGTTCTTATCACATGCAGGCTGTTGTTAAAGTGGCTGTTTCAGTGGGAGATTTAACAAAACAGGTGGACCGTTTATTAAATCTCTCCTATTTACTGTAACCTCTGTGATGCAAAGATAACTGGCTCGCAGGTCACAGAGTCTGCACCGTATCCCAGCTCACCTCAGCTTCGTCCAGCCTGATAAGAGTCTCCAGGACTGTTATCTTTGCTATTAGAACACGGGGTTTAAGTCTTAGTCAACAAAGAGCCGTCAGCTTTTACTGTACGTTCTGATAGCCATCGGAGGAAATCCAATTTTCCTGTTGTGTTGTTGGAAAGGCCCCGCAAGGGAGCAGCTGTGCAGGTTTACAACGGTAATGTGCAGAGACGTGCACCATATACAGACCCTCTGATACAAGAATGGATCTGCGCAGGGTGTCCTTTGGTACTGGCAGCAATGAAGGAGGATATATACCTTTCTTTTTTTTTTTTTTTACACACCGGTTCTGCTTCCTGCTCTTCTTGACAGGCTGATGGACAAGTGTGAAGGCTTTAAAGCGCATAAATCCCAGCCAAAGGAGATTTGGGAGTTTGTGTTTGTGCGCACGCGAATACATAGGTTCATGCATGTGAGCAAGCGGTTGAAATATTTCTTTACCCTTTTGTGCGGCGGCTTTTTGCAAATAAAAGAGTAATTTAATTTCAAACAGAGATCCATGAAATCATATCCCAAAGCAAATTACAAATTGGTAACTAATGAAAATGGCCATTTCGACTTGTAACCGCCACGTTGCACATCCTCGTAGGCCCCTCACTCAGATAGAGCAGCGATGTAATTAAATGTGGCATGACAAGCTTTTAAAGAAAAGAGGGGCATGAATTGAATTGCTGTACAAATTTAATCCACTGATCAGGAAGGAAATAAATTTGAAGTCTGGCGAGTGCCTCCAGAAAAAGAAGCCACCTTCAAATTGGATTTTCTCACTTCAGTGGCAAATGTGCCGTGTCACATTACCAGCATTTCTTTCGTTGTTCTTAATTCATACTGTAGATCTCTGCTAAGTAACTCAAAGTGTTCTGAGTATAATGGTCTGAATTTAAATTAACTTTAAAGTTTAATTTGAGATTAACGCTTGAGTTTTCAAGAAGTTTTTTTTTTTTTTTTTGGGGGGGGGGGGGACTTCATTACCACGGTTACAGAGTTAACTCCAAAAGTTAGTCCGTTATAGACTATTACTTTACTGAAAGTTTCAATTAATGTTTCCAGTAGTTTGTGAAATATTTTACTACAGACAGAAACACACACTCTGACCCAGGAAAAACATGTCAGCTGAAGCCCAACGGTAACTTAAACACGTACGGTAGTTATATTTACTAGTACTTGATAACAAAGTGTAACTAGAGAAATTGCATTTCCTTTAAAAATGCAGTGTGGATGCTTATTGCAGAAAAACTTGCTGAGAAACAGCTGAAATTAACTATTAAAAAAAATGCTGAAATGTAGCTGAAATGGAAGAACAAGCTTAAATTAACAGAAGAAAGCAGAAAGAATACATATTTGCTGAATTAGTTTTAAATATCTAGAAATTATCACAAAAATTTTGAAGTTAGCTAAAAAAGATGAAATTAGCAACAAAAAAAGGCTAAAAAGTAGCTGAAAGGAAGAAAGAAGCTTAAACTGCCAGAAGGAAACAGAAAGAGCTGAAATTAACTAAAAAATGTGGAATTAGTTGAAAAAGCTAAAATTAGCATAAAAACAGCTAAATAGTAGCTAAAATAGCAGAAAAAGCTAAAACTAGCATAATTATGCTGAAAGGAGTACTGTATAGCAAGCTAAAATAATCAAAACAAATTAATTGGGCTGAAAGTAGCAGAAATTACCACAAAATCTTGCATGTATCAGAAAACAGACAAAATTAACTAGAAAATGCTAAAACGGGTAGCGGAACAGATAGAACAAGCTTAAATTAACAGAAGAAAGCAGAAAGAACATGTTTGCCAAATTAGGAAACGAGAATAACACCAAAATAGGAAATTATCTGAAAAAAGCTGAAATTAGCAACAAGAAAGAAACCCAGCTGAAAAGTAGCTTAAAGCAGAAATAAGCTTAACTTAGCAAAAGGAAGTAGAGAGAGCACGTTTTTGCTGAATTAGGCAAAAAAAAAAGTTGAAATTAGTGCAAAAAATGTGGAATTAGCTGCAAAAGCTGAAGCTACCATAAGAACAGATAAATATTAGCTGAAATGGTAGAAAAGCTAACACTTGCAGAAATTAGCTGAAAGGAGCATAACAAGCTGAAATTAGCAGAAAAAAGTACAAAAATGTTGTAGTTAGTAGAAAGAATCTGAAAAGAGCAAAAAACAGCTGAACAAACATCTGAAATGAGCTGAAAGAAGCTGGAAAAAAAGGTTAAATTTGCACAAAGAAGCTGAAAGAAGCTGAAGCAGAACAAAATGTGAAAGGAGCAGTAAAAAGTTGTAAACAGCTGTAAAGATTTGAAGAATGTAAAATGAGCTCAATTAATTTTCTCTGATGAAAAAAAATGGCAGAAAAGGCTAAATATTTCAAAAAGCTAAAGTCGCACCAATACCAAAAGTCATTGCAGGATTGTCCTTGAAAAAGCTGAACGTTTTGAAATGGCACAAAAATGGCGGAACAAGAAAGATGCCGAAAAAAACGTACGGAAGAAAAATGGATCACAGTAACGTGAATGCTGCATAAACATTCACACAATAAATGAAGATTTTAAAATCTTGTTATAATCTTGTGTCAGTGTGTTTCTCACATTGACTTCTTGAGCATTATTTAATGTGGTTACGTAAAAGGTTTACCCCCTGCTGCTGAAAGAGAAGCTTCTACGCCCAGAGCCGAAGACTTCAGTCCACCCTGACATGTTATTACTGTTTAGATAAAAACTGATTTATTTCCCCGAGCTTTGGCCGGCAGAGTCTCACCGCTCACAGAAGTCAATTCAGCTCTTTCATTGCTTTGAATATTGTTTTTTTACGCCTGTTGGGTACGTGTCCTGTCCTCTCCTCTGTAGTGATTAGTCTGTCACGCTGGCACCAAACCTTCTGTTGGAAACCTCTCCAAATGGTCTTATCGGCGTCTCCACAGATGTGTGTCAAATTAAATAAAAAAACCTGAACAAATACGTGAATGTAGATGCTTCCGGGGCTAAAATGGTCATTGAATGGTTTGATCAGTCTGAAAACGAGACGGGATTAAGGCTAGATTATTGCTGAGTATTTAACTTCTCTCTCTTTCTTTACTTTCAGAGGGCTGCGGAGAAGAGTGTCTGTTTAACTCTGTGTGTCTGGTGGAGGAGCTGGGCTCCCGCTGCTCCTGTGATCCCATCGATTGTGACGGCAGCTACAAGCCCATCTGTGGAAAGGACGGGCGCAGCTATAACAACGACTGTTTGCGACGCAAGGCGGAGTGTCTGAGCAAAAGTCTCATCCCCATCAAGCACTCGGGGCCCTGTGGTGAGTGGATGATGGAGACTGGTCCCTCCTCGTGTCAGTGTAGCCGTGTGCTTTCTGTCTCAAGTCTGGCTCTCTGCGTGTCTCAACTTTCCTGAATGTTGTTTGAAAAGTTGGTGCTCTCTAAAGGGTGGGGGGGGGGGGGGTGGGCTTCTGGTATCTAAGAAAAAAAAAATGTCTTCCTTAAAAAAAAAAGTGCCTTCACTTCTCATATATCTGCTCACCCCGTCATGCTTCATACCTTCATCTCAAACCGACAAACCAAACGCCGCCTTCATGTTTCATTCATCCACACTTTGTCTTTGACTCCTTTACTCGTGCTCGTCTTCCACTCCAGAGGTTCCTGTCGTCCTTTTATTCTCTGTCTTTATGTCTTCTTTAAAGAAAATACTATTCTTTCTTGTTTCAGTGCATCAGTCTGTCTGAATGTCTGTCTTTGTCCATGTGGCCGTCTCCGTTGGCTGTCTGGGCGCAGGTAGACGGTGGGGTCACCCGGTAGGCGACCTCATCTGGCGGATTCTGAGGGGTGAAGCCTTTCCCCTCGCCCCGTTGGGACCTAACAGGAGGGGGTCTTGTACTGCTTTCCTTTTTTCCTCTCGCTCTGACTGCCTCCATGTGTCTGTTTGTGTCATTAATGTCTTTTTTTTTTCTTCTGTTTACCCTCCTGCAAAGATGTGACCCGTGAGGTTGGAGAAGTCTCTCCCTCTTCCTGTTCTCTGTCTTTTCTTTCCTGTCTAACAAAGAAGAACAAGCTTTTTCTCTTCCTACCTGCCTAAGCGCTGCTCACCTCTGACTCTTTTAGTGCATGCTGTGATGCACATCGGCTCTTAACCTCGCCAACTCCCAAACAGTCCCTCTCTTCATCACCAGTGCTGTCTAAAAACCCTTATCTAATGTGCAGATCTCAGTTTATGACCATTTTGGAACATAAAAACCGTTTTAGGGCTGAAGTTCAGCTGTTTTTTTTTTTGTTTTTTTTGTAATGTGTTGGATTCATACTGTTATTAAAGAAAGAAAGAAAGAAAGAAAGAAAGAAAGAAAGAAAGAAAGTCATTTAGGAAAGAAAGAAAGCAACTAAAAATAGAAATACAGTAGTCACTTGCTTATCACAGGGGATTCGTACCCTGAAACCCAGCGATAAGGGAGGAACTGCAGAGTAGAAAAAGTAGTACAAATAGTAAGTAGTAATTTATTTTAGGATATACATATATATATATGTATATATAAGGCATTTTAAAGCCTTCCCATACTCTTGCAATAATCTAAACAATGTCTCTAAACTCTAAATGTCCTAAAAGAGCACAGCATGTCATGATTTCAGCTCCCCGCCTCCTCTGCTCTTTGCCACCTGCAAGCGCTCTTGGCCACGCCCACTTCCCCGCTCTGCACAGAGGACAGCTGATCAGCTGCAGCAGGAAGTTTATCCTGCAGTAAGGGCTACACAAAGGTGCAGGAGGCGCTAAATAATTTAAAATAATTTATTTTAAATAAAAATTCCATGTCAATCGTGTGGCTCATCCATCAATCAGCCAATTGTGTGTCATGTCCAGTCTTATTTTGAAAAACCACGAAAGAGCGAGTCCGAGATAAACAAACGGCGTAGTAGAGAGGGACTACTGTATCTTAAATTTCAAGATTTTAATATTTTGAACCATTCCAGTCTTCTCTGAGAGTAGAAGAATTCCCCAGTCAATGTTTTATAGTGTATAGTAAATTATTCATATACTAAATGTATAATCAGTTTAAAAGTTTTAAATCAGCGTTAAAGAAAGAATGAAGTCAGCTAAAATATTCAGTAAGTTTTGCTTGTTTTCAGTTGTCATTGGCACGAATGTGTCCATTAATTCCTCACATTAAACGCTCGGTTCACCCCAATTAGTCAAAAATATTTTCAAAGTCTTTCGCACAAAAAGCCATTGACCGTTTTTTTTTTGGGGGGGGGGGTGAAATTTGCAGTTTATTTGTCCCCGTGCCTCCCTAATCTTTTAGAGGTGATTTAAAGGCCTCATCTTGTGTTAATCTCTTGCAGAATTGGAAGTAGTTTGGCTCCTTCACCATCCTAACGCTGATAGCTGAGCGTTTATGATGAAGCGGGAGTAATCTGCTTATGCTGCATGGTGTCACATTACCTCAAGCAAGAAATCCTCCCAGCACACATGTTGTGTTCCTCTGTCCAGAAGAATTGTAGGCTTTCATTGTCGCCGCGACAGAGGCTGATAAAACGAGAAAGATTTGTCCGTCCTTCAGTCGTTCGGGTGTCGCTGAATACCAAAATTATCTCCAGTCGTCAGCGTCAGGAAGAGCCCAAACTCATTTGCATTATTAGACCCGATGAGCGGCGCATAAATTAAACACTGGAAAAGGCAATTCAAGCGTATATACATATATATATATATATATATATATTTATATATATATATCCATTATTTCTGTCAAACACAATTCCTCCACCCCCCTCCCTCATTTGTTTAGTTACTTCCCCCCCTCTCTGTTCATCCTTCCAGTCTTTCACAGAGCTTCACAACCATCAGCCACTGGTAGTGTGTTTCTTTAATGCATTTTTTTGACATTAGCATATTTTTCAAAACGCAGAGCAACAAACGACAAAGCTCCCCCTCTTCTCAATACGGTTTTAATTAAACATCAAAAGAGGAAAGCGTTGGTGCCCGCTGAGACCGTTGCCTTATTCCGACAGATAATGTGCGTGCAAAGTGCAGGTGTGTGTGTATGAAGACGAACATGTTCAAAGTTTGTTCTCTCTTTCTTCGGTTCCTCCTTTTTGTGCAGCCGTTGAAAATGGTGTCAGAAATCAATAAGCATCCCGTCCTGATTGTGTGATGGGAAACACGGTTTCATGTTTGATCCAGTCTGCTCCCAGAACGACCGTCGGGTACAAACGTATCGTCATGCATTACTGTCACACTTAAAACATGTGTTGTGCTGGGGTGGCCATCTTGGATTAGGTTGGCTTGGGGGAGTGGTGGCGCAGAGGTTAGAGAGGTGGGCTTGTGATCCGAAGATCGCGGGTTCACGCCCCCGACAACATCAAAAATTGTGGGTGGGGTAGGTGAAACACCCACACTTGCCCCCACCCTCATTCACCCCACCCTGGGCCCATGAGCAAGGCCCTTAACCCCACCATGTGCTCCCTAAAACAGGTCTCTCTTGAAAATGAGTTCTCGTGGCTCAATGAGACTAACCTGGATAAATAAAGGCTAAATGAAAAAATAATAATAATTTTGAGGGGTACATCCAGTAATTATGTTTCATCAGTATCCATCTAGAGTTTGTGAGCTATTTTGTAACATACACACAGACAAACGCAAGAAACCCACCACCCATCTCCACCTTTTGGCACCAGGTGACAGCTGTTTAAAACCAAGTCCTGCTCACCAAGTTTAAAAACCATCCCAGACTCTGACCACAGAATGTAGAGTACCTGTTTCAAAGTGGATTGTTTGACAGATTTAAGTTTATGTTGATTATATAAAAGCCGTGTTTGGTAAAAAATAAAAATCAATATTTTATGATAATTTGACAATCTAAAGCACGGCTATTCAACTCAACTGCTCAGTGGGCCACAGTTTATGAAAGCCAACAGCTCAGGGGCCCAGCAATTAAATCATTATGTAAATAAACCAAGTATTACCAATGATCTGTTTTAAATTTGTTTATTTTGTTGCATTGAATCCTAAATGCAATAAGCAGAAACCAAAACCCAAACACAAACCCCCACGGGCCAGAAGTGCCCACCAGTTGAATATCCCTGATCTAAAGCCTGGAAAGACGCTCAATCTGCTGTTATTCATTGCTCGTGTAAATGCAATGGATTAGCATTGGATTAGATAAAACAATAATTTGCATCTTTTCAATACAGATTGCAGTCAATGAAAAAAATTCACCTCAGAATAACTTCTGTAAATGAAACGTGTACAGAAAGGAACTTAACTTTAGAGGTTTTCTCCAAACGGTAAAGAGTGCCTCATAAATAAGCATGAAACTGCCATTTCGGGGGTGTTTAACCAGGCAGGCATTTGGGCCTGTTTTTCGGCCAGGCACGTGTGCCACCGCGAGGCAAGCTGCTCTAGCTACATGAAGGCAGTGGGATTGACGCAGAACATCTCCGGAACAAGAGTGAGGGACTTTTCAGAATAAAAGTTTAGACTGGATATTTATATTTTGTCGTGTCAAAAGTATTAGTAACCTTTGAAGCCACCAGCGTGAAGTTTTGAGAACAATAAACAGCAAAACCCTTAAACAACGATTCTTGGTCACATTACTTTACTTTTTTCTTTTTTTTTTTTTTTTAACAAGACATATTTATTTTTTTTTTAAAAAGCTTAAAAAATATCATATTTACATGTGCCACTTAAAGCCTAAAGAACTTTCATATTTTGTCCAATTTACTTTGGAAGTCTTAACTAAAAAGAAAATAACTTATAATAATAAATATGATAATATGCATGCTTGTATGTATATATATGTCAAATATATATAAACATCCATCCATTATCGTCCACTTCCTAGGGAGGTGCTTCAGGCAAATCAAAATAAATTGACAATTAGATTGCAGTAACTGGTGTACTTTGGTTTCTAAGCACAGTATACCCACTACAAAAATGTAGACTACACCACTGCGTTACAAACAGAAGAAAGCAGATATGTGTTCAGATTTGTATGCCCATGGTCCACAAGGATCCGGACTAAGATCAGCTGTTGATTTCAGGTGAGCTTCACTTCTTGTTCGCGATGGCAGCTCTGTTCAAAGTTTTGCTCCTTGCAGGGCGTGTCGTTGCTGCACCACATGAAAAAAGTGACGTATGCGCCATCCCGTATATTAAATGATAGTTTTCGGATAAATAATGATGCTTTTCATTTTATTCTCTCATCTCATTGGCCGAGCGGAGCATGTGACAGGGTGATCGATCACGCTGCCAGCTGTCAAAGGGATGAAATTCTCCACCTCTGACAGAGCCGTAAATCTCCTTTCATAGTGGTGACAG